ATGGTACCCCGGCCATCTTCGATGGAGAACCGGTGACTACACTTTCATTCTTCTCTTTTGTATCGCTTTCGGCCTTTGCCAGCTCTACGACCTTTGCTCTCGCTGCATGGCCGACGGCATCAAGCCCGACGGTAGGGTCGTGTGCCAGTATGTTACTATCGACATGGAGCTGCCCTTCGATCAATTGCGTTACGCCGACCATGGTAGGTTCCGCCGGATAGACAAGTGCGAAGACACTCTTGGACTCTTGTGGCCAATTCTCGATCGCCATACCCATTTCATGTGCTTTACTCAGTGCTATCCATTCATCTGAAGCCACAAGTTTGGAAATTGCCTGACTGCTCTCGAGTAGCGACTGAGCATCTTCAAGTGAGCAATGTTTTTCCTCTTTTGTCAAGTATTTACTGCTCGTCTCAAGCGTTGAAATGACATCAGTTAGGCTAAATCCAGTCCAAGTGAAATTAGATTGGCGCAAGTTCCTGATAAGACTGTGCCGAGCCTTGGCACTGTTTTTGTGGAAAAGGTAGTCGACGTCGGTCCGCTCGCTAGTGATCGCATTTGCTCGCAAAACCTGAATGAAGAGATTGGCTGTCATCTTGTCATACCAGCAGGGCTTTAGAAACACAACACGATGTCGCATTGGTGGTAAAACGATGTCTCTCTCGACATCTTCAGGACGCGTCTTCACGACCAAACCCTCCAGCGTCCGTAGAAAGCATGACGAGAATCCGGTGTAAGTTTTCCGGTACTGATGCTCATGGCGATAGATATATTCATCCCAGTCAAGTTTTCCTTCGTAGTTGTCGCACCAGGGTCGAACCATGAGAAAGTTTGAAGCCAGCATACCCAGTGCTTTGGCAGACTTGAGATTGTCAGAGTCGAGGTTGAAAGACTTTCTTTTCTCAATAGCAAGCTCGCGCTGCAATGCAGGATCTCTCTCAGTTTCCACCGTAGCCATGTCGACTTCTATGCCAACTAGGTTATTTGCGGGTGCTGTGTGAACGTTAGCACTTGTATTCCAGTAATCTTCACACTACTCACTGCCCGAAACAACCCACCGCCTCTCAGCTTGGATTTGTTTTGCGACCAACACTGCGTTTGATAGGGAGCTAGAGAACGAGTGACCTTCATCTATGATGATCCGTAACCAATGAACTTTTTTCAGAGGTGACTCGTAGACTCTCTCAGTATCAACACAGTTACAATCAGGTATCCGAGTCGCACCAATATAGGGACAATTACATGTACGCGCTACACCATGGGCTACACGGCGTCCAAAGTCATCCTGGCCGTCTTGAATCTCTTGCTCGAACCGATTGCGAGTGAACAAGACCACATCGAACTTCATGAGCTCGGTGGGTGCTGGAAGCTCGCTCCGGAATTGCATGGTATCATCATCATACTGGGTGTTCCTGACTTTGCTAACACGCTTGGGTACAGTGTCTACCACAAGTACTTTCAAGCCACCTTCAAGGATATGTTTATGAATCTCGGATTGCCATTGATGCAAAAGGTTTCGAGGTACGACAATGATCGTGGCTGATGAGAGTACGAGCTGACGTGGAGACGGTATTCTAGTAGTCCTGTTGATTCTTGGAATCTCAGGCGGTATCTCATAGAACGGAACATTTCGATCGAGCGCATTTCTGAACTTTGTCATATCTCCGGCACCGTTCGCTTCGGACTGTTCCAGAAAGGACTGTGCTGGTATGGAGTATCGCCCCAGAATAGAAGCTGCCATATCTTTCAATGTCCCAACGCGGCTGCGTGTGGGGGCAGGTGGTCGATAGGCAGCCGGTATCTGAGGTAGATGATGTTTACTTGCCAGAATGACTGCCAAGCAGATGACGGTTTTTCCTAGACCCATGGTCTCTGCCAAAATGCCGCCTCGGTTGGCCTCGTAATAGCGAGGTTCTTGTAGAAAAGATCCGTCTCGAGCGCCAAAGTAGAACTTTTGTCCGTTCGGGGACGTTCGCACCTCTAATCGTGGATCAAGCTGTAACTGAGGCGCTGCTTCTCGCTGCAGCATCAAGCCTGCAGAACGAGCCTGATAACCGTACAGCCTGGTCCTTAACCCTGGCAGTGCTTGTTCACCATATTCTTCCCATCCAGAGATTGCTGAAGACTCAAGTAGATCATTTACTGCAACTCGAGTGTAACGACTTTTGATCTCTCCAGGGTCCGGCGATGGCGATGGCAGCTTGTTGAAGAGGTAGTACAACGAAGAAAGCTCAGCACTGGCCCAGGGATCGAAACATCGCATCTCACCCTCTTTCAAATCTCCATACCAAGTACTTGTCGAGATGTCGATGTCTTGAAGGAGCCGCCGCAATGCAGCCTTCAGACTCTTGCTGTTGCGATCGATGGAGCGACGACCCCAATCTTCGGGCAGCAGATAAACTCGCACTATACTTCTAAGAGTTTCTGTACCATACGGCGGCTGATAAAGAAAAAGCCGTACCCAACGCGCCTCAAGTAATCTGGTTGCCTCGCTGCCGATAATTGCCCGAATCTCGTCCGGGAGCTTGAGATGGAGTAGTTCGGCCCAGTCAGTATCTGATTGTGCTATCTGGAAAGACCCAGGTGGTTTTTGGAAGTGAAGGCAGCCAAGGGCAACATAGCGGTCGATGTCATTCAGCCTAAGTTCTCGGCTGTCGGCGCCACCATGCTTTGGCGATGATGCTGACTTGATAGGTGTAGATGCTGCAGTCGCATTTGACAGTCCGGGCGCAGAGTTTGATGACGCCGCTGCTGATTCATCTCTACCGTTCATATGATCGGTCATCGCAGCGCCGTGTAGTACCGACTGTGTTGATTCATGGGCATGCAAGCTGCTGGTTGTGCTCCAGGAGACAGGCGTCTCGACCAATAATGCGCCACCCATCAAAGGATCTCATTACCAGTCAGAGTTAGGAGAGCGAGAGTATGTGGTCCAAAGACAGAAAAGATTCAAATCTCGCAGGGTGGATGTAACGGTCACAATGGTGGTGAGGGACGGGAGGCAACTGCCAAGTACGCGTTTCGCGCTAGCGCTTCGGGTTAGCGCGAACCGCCCACGAGTGCTCAAGCTTTCATCATTCGGATATGAACAAGCTATTTCGTGTTCTAATGAAGCCTTGACTATGGCTCTCGTTTGGACTATGTAAAATGAATACGCCGATGAACGCCATGCTAATGCCGCTACCCTATCGCATCTCCTGTTGGCCTCTGGTAGGCTTCACATTGTCGCCCTCGACCCAGACGCTCTCCATTGCCTGCTCCAGAATTTTCATGCCCTCCTCGATCTCTGCCTCAGTGATGGTGAGCGGCGGAACGAACCTCAGAGTATTTGTACCGCAAGTGATGATCAGTAGGCCCCGTTCACGGGCAGCTGTGACGATGGGGGTAGGGTCGGCGTCAAGTTGAAGACCTAATATCAATCCTTTGCCCCTAATTTCCTTGATCTGACTGGGGAAGCGGTTTCTCAGTGCATCGAAGTGCTTGCGGAATGCTTGCTCTTTGGCGGGTATCGAATCAAGAATCTCTGGAGAAGAGAGACGGGACAGAATGTATGAGGCGACGCGAGATCCGAGAGGGTTGCCGCCAAATGTCGTACCATGGTCACCAGTCTTGATGTGCTCACATACAAAGTCGTTGACAATAGTTGCGCCGATGGGGAAGCCGTTGCCGAGCGCCTTGGCTGTGGTCACCATGTCGGGATGGCATTCCTTGGGGTAGCCAGCATGAGCCCAGAAGGTGCCCGTGCGGCCCAGACCACACTGGATTTCATCGAAGATCAGGACAGCGCCTACTTCAGTGCAACGTTTCCGCAACGCGACAAGGAACTCGGGTGTTGCGACGTTCACACCTCCCTCTCCCTGGATAGGCTCGACAATGACACCACAGGTCGCGTCAGTTACCAGATCATTGACAGCATCAACATCGTTGAAGGTACCGTATTTAAAGCCGGGGACCATTGGCGAGAATGGTGTTTGATACTTCGGGTTGGGTGTTGCGCTCAAACTTCCCATGGTGCGGCCATGGAACGAGTTGTGGAACGAGACGAACTCATGCTTGTCCTTGTCCGGAGACATGGACTTGCCAACCTTGCGCGCGAATTTGATGGCAGCCTCATTGGCTTCGGAACCACTGTTGCAGATGAATGTGCGGGTTGCGCTGGCGAAACCACCGGTCGCGTGCGTGAGCTGGATGAGTTGCTTCGACAGAAGACCTGTGTGCGGGTTGTGGTAGAGGTTGGAAGTGTGCATCAGTTGCTTGGCCTATATTTTGTCAGTCCACTGCAAGCACATAGGGTATATGTGTATAATACCTGTTCTCCAATGACTTGCGCCACACCAGCGTCACAATGGCCCAGGGCATTGACAGCGATACCAGCGGTGAAGTCGAGGTATCTCCTATTCTCAACATCCCACATGTAGCATCCTTCTCCCTTCTCGAACATGGGCGGTGGACGCACGTAGGTCGGGACCATGTACGGTAGTTGCTGGTTGACGAGGCCGGTGGTCTTCGAGCTGGCAGGCGGATCGGGGGTGGGCAAGGAAGAATCGCGCTGCGAAGGGTCAGTCTTGTGAATTGGCTCCAATAGAATAGATGTACACTTACAGCTATCGAGTCCAAGACGTCCTGCGGCAGACTAGAGCCCTTGACTGTGGATGCCGCTGAAGCAAATCGCGTGGGCGTGTAACTAATGCGCTGTGCCCGCAATGCGGCGCATACCTGCCTGGAAGCCATTCGTGAGGTCATTGTGAAAATGAGTTATTACAAAAGACACCTAAGGAAAGCTAAGATGGTATGAGTGCCATTGGTGGTGACTGGACTGATCTGATAAGGCGTGACGCAACGCCCAAAATTTTGGGCCGCAGCTGAATTGCGGGCCGAGGTCGGAGTGGTGCCACAGGAGACGTTGCCAAACAGTTTATAATCATATTGCTCGATAAATCTTCCATCGAAGTATCACCAACGCGAACGGCTGTTCGCGCAATCTTGAAACAATCTCAAAAGTCTCGTTGGTGTAGTTGGTTATCACGTGGGTCTCATACCGTCATGTATGACTGCTCGTTGAGCAGATATCCCAAGGCCGCCAGTTCGAGTCTGGCACGGGACACAACTTCATTTTTTGCTGATGTATGCGGTGGATGGTTGGGCGCTGTTCGGATGAATTTTTGCACAGCTAGGTTAGCTGCACGTGCGGCCGTGGAGAGTTCGCGTCTTCAGGGGCAGCCGATGCGGTTGATGACGAAACGCATTGATGTCATGAGCCAGCCAACATCCGGGAAACCCTCATCCACCCACATCCGTACATTGCGAAAATCACCGGCGATCTCATCGCATCGCCGTCTTAGTGAATGTTGATATCAAGCACCATCAGTTGACATGCCCTCGGCTAAGAAACAGAAGACCGCGCGCGATTCCGGCATCTTCCTGCAAGACTCGGATAGCGATAGCTCAGACTCCGCCTTTGAATCCGTGCGCCCGCACAAGAACGACACAAGCAAGAGCGCTAGATGCGAGATCGAAAGCAAGAGCCATCACAGCCAGAAAGACAGGAAACCCTACAAACCTACCGGACCAGCGTTACACGATTATATATGTATACACCGCCCCTTCTTCGATGTAGAGGGCGCCAACTGGCTAGCATGGTCTACCAATCCGTCAGCCCACCTCTCTGACAAGGAAGAAGTCATCACCAAACTCTACAAACCCATTTATGAAAAAGAAGAAAAAGAAGGCATCCACAAGTCGTCGCCTAGCAAGCACCCGGAACACAAATGGGTAATGATGTGGGATGCATGGTTGAAGGCGGAGGTGCTAGGTCGAAAAGCAAAGTACTGTGACCCGAACGCGTTTGGTATGAGCTTGTACAACGACTGGAAAAGGTGGGGTATGGAGGAGATTGTAGAGAATTTGGTATGTATTGTGGGACATGTATTAGCCACAAGCTAACAGTATTGAAGATGATTGAGTTTGACGAGGCATTCCGTTCGAAAAGCCATAAGCGCATCGAGGACATGTGGACCGTCGTCAGCGCTATGGGATTATGGTTCAACGAGGACGACCGCATCAGTGCGCTCATCGGCAATGAAGGCAACGACACGACATGCGAGCTCATCGGGCTTTTCGGTTGCGCGTTGCTCACAGTCCTCGCTGCTATCGAAGGCGCAGGGGAGCTCAAGTCGGACTCACGATTCCTCGATCTATCTCTCGTCATCGCCTACTATCTGGAATTGTCGCACGACCTCCCAGCATATGGCATTGAGGGTGAATGCGTCGCCTGGCGTAAAGAAGCGGTGGGGTACTTCAGGAAGGGTGGTCTGGACCCCGAAAGGTGCCTTTTTGCGACGAGATCACGAATAGAACTATTGGAGAAGGTGGATGAGCCTGACAAAGGGAACGAGGAGGGGAGTGTGGAGGCCACCAAGGCGACTGCTGGTAGCTCGGCAGATAATCCAGTTATGATACTCGAGAGTCAAGACGCAGACAAAGAGAACATAGACCCAGAAGCTACGAAGAGATCACCTCCACAAACGCCTATCAGTGGGAAAAGGAAAAGAGGTCTGGGCGGCGTTGAAGACGAGGCAAAGAACAAGGACACTTGGAAGTGGGCTGAGAAGTTTAAGGCGTACAAGGATCGGCAATCTCCTAAGATGGGTGGTACACAATATGACATTACAAAGATGAGCCGATCTGACCGAGAGGCGGCAGCATTTGATGGTAAAGATCCACTCGCAAGAGTGGCGGTTGAAGATTTGAAGGAGAATCCACTGGATCTGGATCCATAAATAGTGCTTTTTGGATATACACATGTTCAGTTTCGACGTAGCAGCGTTTGTTGATCTTTCCATTCCATAGCTTAAACAATAGTTTCGCTCCTCCGACCGTACCGAACATTACTGCACGCATCCGCGAGTGTCCACAGGCCAAATCTCCTCAATCACACCCTTCCGATGCGCATAATACACATCATGTAGATTGACTGTGGGATCAATGTGACTCGGGACCATCTCTACACGATCTCCTATCCTCAACTCCTTCGCCATACCCTCCTCCCACATCAAGCTGCCATGCTCATCGCCCAGCACCCCATACGTATACCCTGGCGTTTTACACTCGGCAAGCCCAGAATCCGTCGTCAAGCTCTTTAGTCCCGTATCAATGGTAATAACATTATCGCCCTGCTTGCTGATAACCGTAGCCAAGATAGTCAGGCTCTGTGAGAAATTGTGCGAACCAACCGCATTCCGGTAATCCGTGTCCATGAAGAGGAAAGAGCCAGGCTGAACCTCCGTTACACCTGGAACACTAGCGCAGAAGACTGCTGTTCCCGTTCCCCCCGTAGTAACGACGTGGATGCCATGGCCCTCTTTGCGCAACGCCTCCGCCGTATCAACAAGAATAGTCATACTTTCCAAACACAACTTCTTCCTCTCTTCCAAGCCATGTACATGCTGCAAATGGCCTTCATATCCCTGCACACCAATCAACTCCAAACACTTCGAGCCCTTCAAGAAAGCAGCAAGACGCGATGCCGGAGCTCCAGGCTGAATTCCCGTCCGATGCAATCCAACATCCAGATCAATCAATGTCTTGATCTTCTTCCCCGGCTCTTCAAACCCCCCTTGTGCCGCTAACGCAGCATCAATCGCCGCAGCCCCCTCCTCACTATCAACCACTATCCTCACATCCCTGTACGTGACCAGCAGCTCAACCAGCCGCTTCACCTTGGCCGCACCCACGATCTCACACGTGATGAGCAAATCGCTAAAGCCGCGCGCGCACATGACTTCAGCTTCGGAGAGCTTGGCGACGCAGCCGCCTTTTGCGCCCGCCGCGACCATTTTCTTTGCCAGGATGGCGGACTTGGTGGTTTTCAGATGCGGACGTATATTTACGCCAGTTGGCAGGAGTTGGGATGTTAGTGTGGAGAGGTTGGCTTCCATTAGGTCGACATCTACTATCATGGAGGGCGTGTCGAGGGAATCGATGTGGTCGCCGATTTGGGGTGAGTACGGCATTTTGGCGGCGGAGTTGAGAGGCTAGAGTTTGTTGGCGTATGGTAGGCTTCCACGATGAGGATTTGAGGAATGACGAGTTGCGCAGTTGAATTGGATGATGTTGTGGCAATCGGGATAGTTGTAGTAGTAGCAATACCCGAAACCGAAAATCAAACTTTGGAAGACGAAGAAGTGACGATGCTTTCGGAATGTCTCGGGTCCGAATACCTTCAACGGGGTAGAGCGAACATCGGCCCTGGATGATAAGGCGTGTAGAAGGATACTGTGGTGATAACCCAAAGGGGTAAGCCGGGCGTCAGCCCACCTTCCAAACGCGAAGCTAGTGTGTCGATCGTCTTCGGAGTTCGTGTGTTCGACACTCGTACAGACTTCATGAATAGCCAATTCCGATGGTTACGCAAACAGCTACAGTCATATCGGTTGGAGATGATGGGGTTCGTGGTTGTTGCGCGTGGGGTTGAAGTCACGTTGCATGTGTCGCACTTTGCGAATTGAGTCACTCGATCGTTGTTGAGAAATTGCATCCGCTTTTCTGTGTGCAGACCCAAAGGCATGGTGGGGTTTATGAAAAGAATACTCAAGAGTTGGCACTGCAAACTATCTGCACGTATTAGTCGGCGCATCTACGACCTAAAAACGGTGACACCGAATTCCAGCAAAGTAACGATTCGTTTAAATTCCTCCCACGCCATGCTGAAGCAAACACTCAGGTACCCTAATGAATCATGCAATCACTTGATCAAGCCTTGCAGCCGTTGTGGCCTGCCTGTTGCCACATCTTCACGCTCTTGACTTTCATCTGCGCGTCGTCCTTCCAGGTAGGCAGCCACTCGTTCTTAGCCTCCCAGAAATCGAGCTTAGCACGCGAGCTGTGGTCGATCCAAGGCTTGCCACTTTTGCCATCTTCGAACCAGCCGTTCGCCGCACCAACCGCCAGGTTGAGCACGAGGTAAAAGTCCTGGTCAAAGGGCGACGTGTTGCTCTTGGTCTCCTTCCAGGGATTGTCCAGACGGGTCCCGTTGGCGTCAGCGAGAGGGAAGCTGCCGTACTTCCAAAAGGGCTTGTCAAAGTGCGTGTACATGACCTGTAGCAAGCGTGTGTTGATATAGGTGAAGATGTACTTCTCGGACCACTAGGCGTTGGGTTAGTACTCTTGTGTGAAGTAAGTTGCAGGTGGGCTGTGAGACATACCTCGACACCGAATGTGTTGTAGTCGGCTGCATATGTGGTGTGTAGTGCCTTGCGCTTGACGTTGTTGCGCCACCAGCCGTTGTGGTTAGCGTCGGGGCCAAAGTGCAGCGTACTAGAAACGATGTTGTTGCCGCCCTGAGCGTAGCTGGCAGAGTTGCCGCGCGACTCCATGATGTCGATCTCGCCTGAACGAGGCCAAGGGCCGTAGAAATTGTCCTTGGGCAACATCCAGATGGCGGGCCAGAGCCAGTCACCGGTGGGCAACTTGGCGACAACCTCAACCCGACCATATTTGATAGAAGCACCAAGCTTAGTATTGATGCGACCAGACTTGACGGGATTGACGATAGTGCCGTTGTCTACGTTCGTGGCTGACAGGCAATCGTTCCAGTTGGGACCGGTACAGCCTTGACCACGGAGATCAAGGGTGTAGTTGTGGCCAATGAACTTCTCCTCCTGGAGAGTAGGCTTTATGATGAGTTCACCGTTGCGGATGAAGACGTTCTCATCTGTGGCAGTAGTCATCTCAAATTGGCCATTGCTGCAGATTGCGATCAGTTGATTGAAGCGAACCGTCCAAAACGACAACTTACCCATAGCCACCGACCTCTACTTCCTTTGTCCAAACGCTCTCGTCCCATGAAGTGAAGTTGTCATTCAATATTTCGCAGTACTTGTGCTGTGCGACGGCTCTCAAGCCATCCCAAACGAGGATGCCTGTTACGGCCAGACCAAGAACCAAGCCGACAATAGGAAAGATGGTGACCCATATCTGGCGCGGATGTTTCTTCTCAAGCCATGGCTGCTGAACATCCTCAGGCTTGACGCGACGCGACCGGAAATAATCGCCTGTAGCGGGAAGACGAAGTCAGTTCCTATCTCATAATCTATTCATTTCTACA